GTAGTAGTAGTAGTAGCGGTAGCGGTGAAAAAAACGTTGTTGTTGTTGTTGTTCTTGTTCTTGTTGATTGTGGTTGTGGTTGTGTTTGTGATTGTGGTTGTTGTGCTTGTGGTTGTCATGAGCGACCTGTAGTCATAGTCGCCATGGTCTCACAATCTCGTTTCGCAATCGCTCAAGATGAAAAAAATCCCACTTGATTTTCGGATTCCCTGCAAAAGAATTTTCCAAAAATTCATTGGCCATTCCCATCAAACCATGTGTGCTGATTTGAGGCGTATGTAAAAAGGCACAAGCATTCAGTTTTGGTTTCAATTCGTGTGGGTGGGCATTGCGCATTTGTGCCGTATTTCAGATATGAACAAATTTTGAAGGTTGCAAAGCAAACGCGGGTCAATGATTTTCATCAGATCGATGGATTCACCCACACATTTGGCTTCAAAACCGCCCAGCCCATTAGGTGGTCAGTAATTTGGTTTTTGTTTTTTCAAGGTTTTGGGTCCAATTCTTTGATTGACAAACGCAAACCAGCAATTCGGCGATTCAACCCCAAAAGGTATATACTTGCATTGGCATTTTTTCTGAAATTTCGGTCCTCGCCCTCTTTGAATTTGGGATTGCATGGATATTGTGGTTCAGCCGTCAGATCGTGGTTCGCGGTCGGGGCAAAATCCAATTGTCCCAGGCTGGGTGGGCAGAACTGGGAAGCAAACAACTTACAAGTTAAGACGAAACATGTATTTGTTCTCTGGCGGGTTGTCCTTAAGGTGATCGGGTACGTTTGTGCAAAACAAAAATATGTTTTCAAATATATTACATTTATTGTACATAAATTTATTTGTCTATTTATTTTCTTATTTATTTATTTATTTATTTAATTATTTGTTCATTTACTTGTCTTATTTACACTTTACCAATTCAAGGCTACTGCACATAAATCCCCTTGGAAATTGATGAAAAACATCTGTTTCACATCGTCCCAGTCGAAGGTCGACCATGCTCCGCGTAGATGACCGATGTCGATGACCGTAACTCCACGTGCTATGACCCTGGTGATAGCCCGGAATCTCGGGTGCAGATGATTGGACCCATACCTTGGTTGTGGGTCGACTACTGTGCGCAGATGATTTTTGTCATTTTTTTTTGGGAAATCCAAATGTGCAAAATGCAATCTGCGAATGGGGAATTCTCCAATAGTTTTTGGTATAGGCAATGATGAAAACAATAAAAATAATGGCTAGAATTAGTTTATAAATTGATCAAACGTCGAGACGTGACACGTGGCTGGTCAGGATTGATGCTAAGAATGAATATTTTGGTACGATTGGCCATTGTAATGGGAAAGATCACAAATGTTCAAAATTAAACCCCGCAACCACGCAGGTTGTGCTATTTTTTATATTTTTTCGTGCCATGAAGTGTTGAAAAACCATCACTTCGTATCATCCGAAGAGTTGAACGTTTTTTTTTCGACGATTCTTGACATAGTTGGCGACGAATCACCGCAACCGAAACAACAGACGTCCTGAGGGTTTTGCAGCTCTGGGACTGGTTGGTGTGGCATGGACTCCTCAATTGGAGGTCAGGGTGGGGTGAGAAGAATCACGTAAACCTTTTAATGGCATCTATATAATATGAGAAAATCATTGCATGACATACATGGTGGATTTTCCAGCAAACCGTGTTTGAGTACAGGAGTTGTCGGTATTGTAAATGCCTCTTGTTCCAGGGTTTTTCTTATTGAGCTGCAGGGTGTGTGCAGTAGCAGGGTTGATGAAGAATTGGACAGATTCAATGAACAGATGGTGGGGACCTTGCCAATGAAAACCTGAAAACATCACACAACCATCTACAACTGCAGTTACAACTGAGCAATTTCAATTTTTCATTTGGTCCATTGGTTTTCTGGCCCATTGGGGGATGGACACACCAATTTGCAAGGAGAAACCATGGGTTTTGGAGGTACCCTATCTGGCAAACCCATACTACTGGAAGGATTTGGGTTGGGGTCAAGATTCAAACCCAGGAAAACACAGAGATTTTGGTCATTTCGAGTCAGAAAGCATTTCTGTTTCAGGGTATCCCAAGTTTGATCTACCCAAATACATTGAAAACCCGGCCGAAGCAACCCATTTGTTGTTGAAATCCTCAAATACGGAGATCCCATGCGCATGTTGATACATCCCATACTTTTTGAAATTTGGACCAGCAACCCACCACTTATGCCATGTATATTTCCATTCTGCTTATGGCCACAAGAGTCGAGAAATCCCCAAAATTGAACCAATTTTCAAGCAAATCCAACATTTTTTTTATCCATGTAGCACTAATCCAAACATCGGATAAAAAATGATAAAATTCCACCATTTTTTTGAGAAACGTATCTCATGGGGTCCTCGTTTGTTTTAATGTGAGGCCTCTTCGCCCTACTCAGCCGTCTCCACAGATGATAGTGTGGTCTCGTTGCTGCAGGCAGTGCTTTGGGAGCTGGATTAAAATTAATGGAAGTTCCCAAAAAGATGCAGAACGGGTCCATTTTACTGCTATTTTTGCAAGATTTTTACTGAACTCTAGTTTTTTTTGGGGCGGCTCCAATGATGTAGATTAATAATTTATCATGTGACCACCCTTTAATTAGTTAATTGTTCGATTATGGGATCCAAAACATGTATTACATGTGTATATATATATATACATATATATTATGTATATTATGTATATTATGTATATTATGTATATTATGTATATTATGTATATTATGTACATTATGTACATTATGTATATTATGTATATTATGTATATTATGTATATTATGTATATTATGTATATTATGTATATTATGTATATTATGTATATTCTGTATATTATGTATATTATGTATATTATGTATATTATGTATATTATGTATATTATGTATATTATGTATATTATGTATATTATGTATATTATGTATATTATGTATATTATGTATATTATGTATATTATGTATACTATGTATATTATGTATATGATGTATATTATGTATATTATGTATATTATGTATATTATGTATATTATGTATATTATGTATATTATGTATGTTACAATGTATATTATATGATTATATAATTTAATTATATTAATGATGTTGTTCATGTCTACAGGATTTGGTAGTTCAGATGTTTTTCTGCCTTGGTTTTGCTAGGTAAAGCCGAAGTGACAACATTTGATATGGTTTATTCTTGGCTTTGTCACACATTCGAAATTATATATATTGCCATATGGGTATATAAATAATGGATATTTAATATTTGTTACATTCCCATACTTAATGGGTATTCCCATATATATATATATATACACCTAAAAATGGGTATTGTGACAGTCAGCCACTTGGTGACCATAGACCTATTTTTCAAGTTGAAAACATCACCTGAAGCAGAAATGTACTCCACAAGTTCAGCATAAAGGGCAAATGGGTGTGGTAAAATTTCTTGATTTTACCAGAGTTTCCATAGCCTTAAATAGCCAATAAACCACTTGATGAACATTGAACTGGTTGTTGATTGATGTTGATTGATGTTGATTGACATTGATTGATGTTGATTTGTTGATTATATATCCTATCTACTAAGTGCTTAGTATGTGGGGTTAGAAGCCACTTATAAATGGGACAACTCACCTATATATGATTACATTATAGTCCTCCAATAAACCACGTAAAATACGTCCCCAACACGTCCCGCATCCGAAGCATCCAGTCCCCTTGGAGCGTGCCAGGTGAGTGGCAAGAAAAAGGCTTGGCATGTTGTCATGTTGATAGTGCAGCCCGGTAGTCCACCGGGTATGTGATAGCTATGTGATAGCTATGTTATACCTATAGATATAACTACTGCAATCAGATACCTTAAAAATTAGCTATGTTATACCATTGTCACAACCATTTTTTTTCGGGTTAGAGTAATGTTATTCTGCAGAAAGGCAGAAGTTCTGTTTCTGAAAGTTGAGGATTTTCCTGATCCAAAGATCTCATGGGGATCCGTTAAGGTGGGAGACAATCGAACGACAGATGCAGGACGTGCCGATGGGTGCCGATCCATGGTGACACCATGGTGTGGGATGAAAAATGGAGTCCGTAGATAGGGGGGAATCTGATATATTCATATTATATATATAATATATATTATATTATATATATGTATATTTATGTGTATATTTCAATATTTATATGTATATTTATATGTATATTTATATGTATATTTATATGTATATGTACACATGGGGAAGGGACCGATTGCGAACAGTTTTGGCAGGGATGATTGCAGTCCAGTCCGGAGCAAACTATCAGAAGACTAAATGACAGAAGGTTTTTTGGCATTACTCAGGCGATGACATCCACAATTTGTGCGAATTTTTGTGGCCTTGAAACATGCAACGTTTTGGATACCCTATGGTACCCCTCACCTTGTATCGGTTGGTCATAAGCATCCCAGCCCCCCAAATTCCAGATCGTTGCTGGATAGAATCCTTGGCCATCGAATTTAGGCTGGGTGAACATCTCGATTTTCCTGGCAAAATTAGGGGGATATGCTCTCAGATGGTAGAGATGATAAATCCAATGATCATTTCTAGCTAGTACTTAATCACCCCGGTGTGTCCCGCTTAGCAGCTGGTTTATTTATAGCACATATATAATAACATACACATATATATATATATACATTAATAAATAAATAAATATATATATATACATGATATAACCCATTTATATAATCCATATATCACCCTATATACAATCCATATATCATCCATATGTAACTGGGGATATATTCCACAATTGCACACTTACGTTCGTTTGTCCCGCACCAAGTGCCGAGTTTCATGAGGAGCTTCAGTCGCTGTGTCCCGCGTGCGAAGACTCAGTGGCAGCCAAAAACACAAGTCCAAAGTTTAGGGACGACACCTTGGTATTTTATATTACCCTCTGGTAATTTGTTACATAGCTATTGAAAATGGCCATAGAAATAGTGGATTTTCCCATAAAAAATTGTGATTTTCCATAGTTATAGTTATGTTAAATTACCAGAGGGTAGGGCCATCATTGTTGGCATCCACAGTAGGTAATGGCATCCACAATGGTTTTTTTTCATCCATTTAATGCAATTTTTGCCCTCTGGTAATTTGTTACAGTTTGCGAACTGGAAGCCATGGCCCAGTCGAAATAGTTGATTTATGCAATAAAAAATGGTGATTTTCCAATTTTTTCCATCGTTTTTTGTATGTTTACCAGAGGGTTTCATAGCATTTGGACCATGTCATGGGTGCCCAGAATTTGTGCTGCGCCAGGCCAATGGGATCGATAGAGGCCAGATTTAGAGGTTTTTTTCAGGAGTTTTTAATGGAAAAAAACTATTGGGATTAATCCTCTGACAATTAGTTTGCTATGACAAAACATGGGTTGTCATTAGCAAACTCTTTGTCATTAGAGGATTAATCCCAATGATTCATTTTGGTTTATCCTCTGACAAAGAGTTTGCGATGGAAGTTTTCGACAGCAAAATCATCGAAGTGAATGGACCATCCGGATGGGCTCGCAGCTTCTTGACCCGTGAGTGTGATGCTGAAGATTTTCACGGTTCCACTCTCTGATTCTGCTCCAAAAAAGATTCAAGATTGATGGCCCAACTCTTCCAAGAATTTCAATGTATCAGAATGTATCGGAAAAAAAGTCCAGCTCTAAAAAAGCAACAACTTCGAAGGTTTCATACCCCGGTTGCGTTGCAATCCAATCCTCAGAATGGCTCTATTGGGGAGCCATAGTCGCCAGGTCTCCAAAAGAATGTCTCTGACTCAGTGCGTTTTCAGGTGGCCGAGGCTTTGGGAACTAATGACCAAACCCCCAAAACCCCAGAAACCCCCCGAACTCAGGAGTTTCAACATCAGTCCAACCAGGTTAACCAGGAAAAGTAAGCCACCTCCAAAATTGGTTTCTCAGCAGAACCGACTCGACTGACTGCATGGAGCATCCCCAGCCGGGGTTTCAACATGTCACACTTGGGCGGTGAAACGACATAGTTTTCTTTATATCCTGCAACGCAAGTGCATGATCCACGGTGCAAAAAATGAATGGTCAGAGCCAAGTGTCCTAGGTGAATGTCAACCTAGGACTGATAGGCCCATTGCTTGATATCCTGAACAAATTCTAGCCATCTCTCCAAGATCTCCCAAAAAAGGTCCAACTGCAGCTGAAAAAAGCACCCACCCGAGGTGACCAGCAAAGTCAACGACGGACATGCTGTAGGCGCCTCCGTGGGAGTGTTGGTGTGATGGGTTGCCTTGGTCATTGCCAAAGGGCCCAAAATGATGTATTGGAATCACCCAAAAAGATAGAGTTTGGTGAGTTTGGTAAAACCCTACTGGAATTGTGGTAAATCAATCAGTTTCTCTATCTTTTTCGGGGCAGTTTTTTTTAAATATAGATTTGATTCTATGCCTTACAAGACCCCAAATGTCTCAAGTCTTGGTTCACCTGGAGTGCAGGTGGATTTGCGAGGAAAGAGGTCAGAGTCGTCAATTTTTGCTGAAAGAGAGAACGTTCATCTTTCGTGGGAACTAGGGTTCCACAAAGGAAGGGCCGCTAGGGAACTGGTTTTTTTTCGCCCACGTAACTGGATATATACAGGTATTGCCTCTATTTGGAAGCGGCAGACGGCTTTTTCGTTGGATCCATCCGATTCATCCCTGATAGGCAGACACCCGGCGACTGTGCTACTAGAAAGTGCTGGAGCTCAGATTCGCGGCTTCGGGTTGAGAAAGCGACGTCCCTGAGGGTGTCCCTGAGAATGTCACAATAATGGCAAGGTTGCGAATTTTTGCACTACCAAAATGGCATGTAAAAAAATGTGGATATAAACCATTGCATCCCCAAACAATTCCATTAAATACCTATTTTTTGATGGTTAAACCCCCCATTCCCATTCCGACTCACACCTTTCCCCCTTGGTCCTGGTTACCAATACCCCCGAAGAAAATCGGTGAGGGTGGTTTGATTCGGGTATTTTGCCGTATCCGCATCAATACCCCTAACAAATAGCACTTTGATGTACGAATGATTCGAATTCAGGGCACTTGAGCCACTGCTGTCTTTCCGTGATGCAGTGGTCTCAGGTATGGCCGAGCTACATCGGATGGTGAAAGCTAAGGTTGAAGGTCCGCAGCCAACTTTGCACATGGAGCCATTCAAAGTACCCTTCTTGGTTGGTTTTTACAGTGGGTTATACAGCCTAGTTGCCTGGTTTATTGAGGATTGTTGACTGATGCATTGTTGACCAGTATTTCATGGGTTGGGATAGGGCCCATTTATTTCTTGACCCGGCATTTCAGCAACCAACATAATTCAGATTTACGCAACAGATATTTGGATTTTGCTGTAAGTACCATGTTTTGCCCATTGACATCTTTGGTCATCGAGGTCTTTTGCCCCAAGTCCCGACATCAGAGGGGATGCTCTTCACAGCTTGCTTGTGCGGAGTCTTGGGGAGTGGAGGGTGCCAAGATTCCCTGGGTTGAAACCACGAAGTTAAGGGACTCCCAGAAGTGGTTTTGTCCGCGCTGATTGTGGCGAATCGTGCTGTTTGTGTATCGCCAAGCCTCAAATTTTTGGGCAGATTATATCCAGTTTTGGTCCCAGAAAAACCCACCTGGGTCAGGATTTAAACTATTTAAACTACTTCCATTCTCGCCTGTTGTGTAGACAAAATTCCGTCGGAGTTCTCCTCCGAGGATCTCCACGCTCATCCCTTCACGGCAGTTGTTTCTGGCAGAGTTGACCACATGGAAATGACCAGTTTAATGACCAGACCTAAGCGCCATTTTCTGGCCATTAAAGGCTGTGTCATATGGGAGACCGTTCTGCCAACGTTGGATGGTTGGAATGAACAGTGACTGCGCCCAGTATGAATAAAGCACCACTCTGCTAAAAAGGATCGCCCAAAGATTGTGTGATAATTAGTCACAAAGGATCCTTATTTGCTTTTTGATGTAGGTGCCTAAGTAGATTTCCCTTTGGATATTACCATCAAATCTATGACGGATTTCTATTGTGTTTTTGGTGTTTCTCCGACCGTAGATCCTTAGATCCGACATTCTCCAAGCGTCAGGGTTGCTGGCATCATGGCTGGCAACTCAGCGGGCTGAAAATGGCTGAGCTGCCGTGAAAAACAAGGTTGCTCTTTAGTCTCCAGCTCATGAAAAAGGTTAGAAAATAAGGAATTGTTCATGTTATAGCAACTCTGGGGGAAGATCTTGGTCATCTTTTTTTAAATCTAAGAATCTACCCAGTTTCCCACCTTTTCAATGGATCTGGGCTGTTGCTGTTGCTGGGCTGATGGATCCATGTCATTTTGTGATCAAGGATGGACTGGGAAGGCTGGGAAGGCAAGCCATAGGTTCAGATTTTCAATATTTTTGTCGGGACATGAACCGCAATTTGACCACGTTAAACCATGGATTTTCCCATGAAACAGTGGATTTTCTCGTGCTTCCAAGTGACTCCAGTGACTCCAGTGGCCACCTGGTCATCCTGGGAGTCTTCAGAAAACATCACAACATCCAAAGTGTTTAGGGATTTCATGACATTTCATGACATTTCATGACCAGCTTTGGGAATGTTTGGGATACCCTCAAGTTCGATGATTTACACCATTTCCTTAGACATGGACCAGACCTTGTGAGCTGAGTGAGCTGAGGTGATGGCGGTGACCCTGGCGATGCTGTACCACGGCGCGTCCACACGAAGACCATTACCCTCTGCACTGGGCCGAACGAACAGAGCAGGCAGGGTCGGTGGGTCGGGTTGGGCCGGATTTTTTTTTGGGTTGATATGTCACCATTCATTGCAGTTGGCAGCAAGGATTGACCTTTCACGCCTGGAAATGGAAATGGAAATGATGTGTCACCATAAACTCAGACATAGAACATGGGACTCCACATTTTTCTGGTCTTCCTGAGTTCTTCTGGGTTCATTTTCTGCCTTTCGCAAGTGAGTTTTAGCAGCGGGGGAGTCACACTTGTTTGTCCAAGAATGGGTTATCCCTAAGATCTTATGGTTTATCAACTCTTCAACCTTCATTCCGACATTTTTTTCGACATTTCACAATTGTTGCTGTGTGTCCCTTGGATTCTCCAAATCTTGTACCAGATTCCTTTTCATTGATCTCCATGGTTATCTTTGTTGAACTCCCACAACATGCTTGGTTGAATAGGGAAACCATGGGAAAACCCATTTTCCCAGGCCATGAATTTCCGGGGTATCCGGTAGACAGACCCAGATATTCTTTTTCAATCCCCTAATTGCATTTTGGTAGAAGACTGACCCTGCATTAAACCCATTGACGAGCCTGCATTATTTATCACTTCAAGCCCCCAACATGTTGGTCAAGTAGCCCATCAAAGGGGGAAATCCTATACTCTTGATGGATATCCCTGCAACATGGTTTAGTCAAGTCCGAACTCTGTATTGTCTCATTAGATAGTCCCAAATTACATCATATTGCATCATTTATTTTTCATTGGTATCAGAATGTGATATTATCATGTCTCATCTCTAGATTTCATATATTACATTCCCAGTGTATATCATAATATATCAATCGAAAAAGGAACAGTCCATATTACATCCCCAGTACATCATATTTCATTCATTTGTTTTACACCCCTATTATATATTCTATCTATATTCCATACATATTCGATTCCATATACATTCCATAATATATATATATTTATTCCATATACAACCCATATATATATACCATATATTTTCCACATATTTTCCATATCACATATATATATATATATACCATATACATTCACATTCCATATATATATATATATACATATTTCCATATTTTCCATATATTTTCCATACATACATATATATATATATAATCCATATATATATACACCTATCATGTACCCCTATGAACATGGTCGGTTTAGTTCCTATGTTTCCGACATCGCTCGTTTCGCGGCAGATGCAGCGAGCATCCCCGGCATGGACGACCCGTCCGCCTCGGCGGGCGACGTGTCGGCCATGTCCACGGCGGAGGTGGGCGGCGCAGGCGCCGCATGGCGGGGTGAGGGTTGTGGGTTGGGTTTTTCAAAGCACATGAGATATAGTTGTATAATCCATATTTTATAATCTTTATAATCCATATTTATTACCATATTATCATACATATAAAACCATATATATAATCCATATTAATATTATCGAAGGAAGTTTAGAAGTCAAACTTCCGACAATATGGACAGATGAAAAGCAGAGCAGGGAAGAGGCAGAGAGAAGAGAAAGATTAGAAGAAAGAAGAGTAGAAGAGAAAGAGTAAGAAGAAAGAAGATGCAGATGCAAGAAAAAGTAGGAAAGTCGCGAAACACTGTGTTTTTCCAATGATTTGGGCCTCCGGAGGGTCGAAAAGTAGGCTCGCTAAAGCGGCGGGAGCGGAGCCAGCTGGCCAGATGAGAGATGAACAATTGCACGCCGTTGTGGCGCGAAGCACATTTCCAAGTCAAAATGTACAAAACACCTCAGCTCCGGACCACTTTTGGAAGCTCAGATGTTGAAAAAGTGCACGCCGTTGTGGCGCGAAGCACATTTCCAAGTCAAAATGTACAAAACACCTCAGCTCCGGACCACTTTTGGAAGTTGCGATGTCGAAAAAGTGCACGCCGTTGTGGCGCGAAGCACATTTTCAAGTCAAAACGCACAAAACACACCATGTCCGGACCATTTTTGGAGGTTCAGAAGTCGTTTCGCGTGGCAGGCGCAAGGGATTGTGGACCTTGTCAAAAGTGAGCAAAACGTGAGGGTTTTGTAGCATTTCCACTACACTACACTACACCCCAATACGTTACACTACATCCACTACACTACACTGCACTCAATTACATTCAATTACACTACACTACACTACACTACATTACACTACACTACACTCCACTACGCTACACTACATTACACTTCACTACACTACACTACATTACACTACACTACACTACCTTCCACTACACTACATTACACTACACTACACTCCACTACACTACACTACATTACACTACACTACATTACACTACGCTCCACTACACTACACTTCACCTACACCTACAACTACACTCCACTACACTCAATTACACTACACTACATGACACTACACTACACTACATATCACGACACTCCACTACACTACACTACGTTACACTACACTACATTACACTGAATGACACTGCACCACAGATAGACAGGTAGACAGATAGACAGACAGACAGGCAGACAGACAGACAGATAGATAGATAGATAGGTAGATCGATAGATAGATGGACAGATAGATCGATAGATAGATAGATAGGTAGATAGATAGATAGATGGATACATAGATAGATAGGTAGGTAGGTAGATAGATAGTCAGAGAAAGAGAGAGAAAGAGAGGAGACATCAATCACCTTTCGATCCATCAGTGGCTTCGCTCTGCCATTCCGGATTCACAACAACCAACCATTCCTATAGGTTTCCTATTTTTGAATCTTCCGCCACCGCCTTGTGCGGTACTACTGGTATATATATTTATATACAGATATGTTATGTAAGTTATAGACATCACATATAGTTATAGATATATGATATATACATATTATGAATGCATTATGAACATGAAATATGATAACATTGTGTACATAACATGACACGACATGATATATGCCAAAAAAGCTGCCTGAAGTGCACATACGTAGGTGTGAGGTCAAGTGGAGCCAGGCACACGGACGCGTATTGAGCGTTTGCTCATTGGGTGGAAAATGCCACCAGGGTTTCATCATGGGAATGTACTACTGTGGATGGTTGCGAAATCCTGCACAAGTTCATAGATGGTAAACATCCCATTATTTTGTTGGGGTTTCACCATCCAAGGTGGTGCAGGATTTCTTCCATCCACTGTATCATTTATATACTGTAGTTGCAACATGATGGAGTTGCATGATTCTTGAATCCCCGAGCAGTGGTATCGATATGTACATATATACATATATATACGTACATGCTAACTCGCCGAAAACGCAACCATTTTGAGATGTCTTTTTTCAAACACACATCATTTCTTGAAGCACACTATATATTATATGTTGTAAGATATCTTTGCAATATATAGGGCATTCTTCAAACAGGTGCAGCATTCCTTCAATGGAAATAATACGCCTTTCAATTCAACATACATTTTTTTTGTAAAAACAATGCATGTTTCTCTTGAAGAAGTAAATCTAGTTGACATGATACATCTTTTCAAGAAATTTGGAGTAAATTCAGGAGTTCAATTTGGGATTTAACAGGCCGAAGCTCTGTGCAGTTTTCCGTTCAATAAACGGTATGTGTGGTGTCCCCCAAACCCTGGGGACCCAAGGGACTTCTAATATTAGTGTATTGTTACCATTGGACCATGTTTTTTTTGTGAATGGGAAGCGGGCTATACCAATATGTAAACATACCAATATATAAACATACCAATGTATACATATATATATATATGTATCTACATGTATATAAATTAAATGTATTTGAATATTTCTGAACGTATATTTTATATATTGTTTCCCACATGCCATCCAAAATCAATTACCCCAATGTGGATAAACGTGAGTGGCTTAAAACATGTAAATGTATGTATATCTACATAAATATATAGATTCTGGTGGATGACTTTTGATGGCCACGATGATCCTCCTAGAGTCTAGTGCAGAGGCATGCGAAAACCCAAACCCGGCTGTTGCTGAGCGCGCCGTTTGCTGATCGCCACAGCCGGCGACCGTTGCTCGTCGCAGAGGAAAAAGGGTTGCAGCGGTTGCAGCGGTTGCAGTGGCTGGATGCGGACCTTGCGTTTCCTGTGATTTTTTCCAAGCGATGTGCTTGGCGATGCCCAAATTGGGCAGCACTTTTGATGGGATACTTTGAGAGTCCTTGTTGGGAAATCAAACCCGGCTGATGCCATAGGCTGGCCCAACAAGTTCTGAGGACTAAACTAGAGTGAAACCTTCTGAAGGCCTCCCAAGCAATTGTATCTTTCCTTTTTTGGTCAGGGAAATTGCGGGAAGATCGAGTTCTGACCAACTCGGAGTGGTCCCTGATTGATTATTTTTACTGTTCAGGGATGGTTCAGGGTTGACTCGATGGCTGTGGTGGTTGCAGCTCAACATTGCGCAAGCAACGATCGTCAAACCGCAGAGGAACAAACGCTGGAAAGACGTCAAACAAAGATTCCAAACTAGCCGTAGCAAAGGGCTTCTCACTTGTCATGACAAGTTTTTCTCTGTCGTTTTCTTTGAACGCGATTCCGAGCTCACCCGTTTGGCTTTGGAACAGCGCAAAGCCAGAGCGCGGAGCCGCAGCTGGAAGTGCATAGGGCAAGTTGTCCCGCAGATTGCTGACAGTCCTCTCAGCGGGACATATTCTTGCTGAGGCTCATATTGGTTCCACATGATTCCACATTGTAGATTCCATTGCATTTCCATTGCAATCACAGGTCCAATGATGCACTTTCATGCAATTTTCAGTCTTTCCCCGGGGGTTTTCCAGTGGTTTCCATTGGTTTCATGTTGCATCCGTTTCCCAAACAGTTCAGGTTTAGTCTCTGCGTTTCGAGGCGTTTCACCGCCGAGTCGACCTCCTCAAAGGACGGCAGCCTTAGCTTGTCAGGCCTAGATCACCACACTCGACATCTCGACATCTCGACATATTTTCAATTTGAGAAATCTAGAGAAATCGACATTTCTCCCCTTCTTTTTTGATTCCCGAATGCGTAGCAAGGGTTCCCGTTTCACTCTGGGGGTCTGGGGGTTGAGGGTGTGTTCGCTCGACGTTGCGTCCGCGTCCGCAACCGTCCGCAACCGTCCGCAACCGTCCGTACGAAGACCGTATGGCCGTGTCTATGGGAAGTTCTGCAGAGGTGGTCATTTTTGGAGGTTTCAGACGTGCCGTTGCTTCGTTTCGCGTGGCAGGCGTGGCACTTCGTGACATTCAGACGTGTTTTGCAACGTGTTGAAAATCGTTTTACGTGGCAGGCGCAATACTTTTGTGACGTTTTCAGAACATGTGTTGCTGTTTTCGTGGCAGGCGCAGCACTTTGGACGTGTCCATCGTCATTTTTCGTGGCAGGCGCAGCACTTTAGACATGTCGTGTTGTGTGTTTTTTGCAAATCGCATTGGCAGGGCTACGTCAAGTGGCGACAAGGTGCAAATTCCGTGGCAGTCGTGGCATTTTGTGCGATGTGCTGAAAATTGACAGAAGCCTCGCACGAAACATCGATTTTGAGGTTGCAAATTTTCAGGTTCTAAGGAAAACTCGTAGGAAAACGTCGATTTTGGAGCTACAAAGTGTGAAAATTGGAGGAAGTCTCGCACGAAATGCTCGTTTTGGTGCTCCCACCTGTCTCGTCTCGCGTCTCTGGTTTTCCCGTGGCCTCGCCGTGTCTATGGGGGAAGCTGCAAAACTTGTCCTTTTGTCATGTTGCCGACTGTGAAAATTGCCGGAAGTCTCGCACAAAATGCTGGTTTTTCTGCATCTACGTGTCTTGTCTCGAGTCGCTTGTTTTTCTGTGGCGTCGCCGTGTCTATGGGGGAAGCTGGAAAACCTGCCCTTTTCGAATGTTTCCAAGCAGGTTGTCATGTTGTTTTGCGTGGCAGACGTGGCACTTTTTGACATTCTAACCTGTTTGATGATGTTCACAAAATTGCAAAATTGGAGGAAGTCTCGCACGAAATGCTGGTTTTTCTGCATCCACGTGTCTTGTCTCGAGTCGCTGGTTTTCCTGCGGCGTCGCCGTGTCTATGGGGGAAGCTGGAAAACATCTCCTATTCGAATGTGTCCAAGCAGGTTGTCATGTCGTTTTGCGTGGCAGGCGTGGCACTTTGTGACATTCCAACCTGTTTGATAACGTGTCGAAAATATCAAAATTGGAGGAAGTCTCGCACGAAAAATTCGTTTTGGTGCTCCCACGTGTCTCGTCTCGAGTCTCTGGTTTTCCTGTGGCGTCGCCGTGTCTATGGGGGGAGCTCCGCACTCCACACTCTACACTTTACACTCCACACTCCACAATTTACACTTTAGATCACTTTAGACTCCACACTCTACACTTTACACTCCACACTTTACACTTTGCACTTTACACTCCTCACTCCTCAACTGAGACTTTACACTCCACACTCCACACTTTACACTACACTCTACACTTTCCACTCCTCGCTCCTCACTCTACACTTTACACTCCACACTCTACACTTTACACTCCACACTCCACACTTTACACTACACACTCCTTACTTTACACTCCACACTTCACACTCCACACTTTCCACTCCACACTCCACACTTTACAATCCACACTCCACACTTTACACTCCTCACACCACACTTTACACTCGTCGCTTTACACTCTACACTCCACACTCTACACTTTACACTCTACACTTTACACTCTACACTCCACACTCCACCCTCTACACTTTACACTACACTCCACGCTTTACATTTCACACTCCACACTCCACACTCTACACACCACACTTTACACTTTCCACTCCACATTTCACACTCCACACTCTACACTTTACACTCCACACTCCACACTTTACACTTTCCACTCCAGACTCCACACTCTACACTTTACGCTCCACACTCCACACTTTACACTCCACACTTTACACTCCACACTCCACACTTTACACTCCTCACTCCACACTCCACACTTTACACTCCACACTCCACACTTTACACTTTACACTCCTCACTCCACACTCCGCACTTTACACTCCTCACTCCAGACTCTACACTTTACACTCCACACTTTCCACTCCACACTCCACACTTTACACTCCACACTCCACACTTTACACTCCACACTCCACACTTTACACTCCGCACTTTACACTCCACACTCCACACTGTAGACTTTACACTCCACACTCCAGACTCTACACTTTACACTCTACACTGAACACTCTACACTCCACACTTTACACTTTACACTCCACGCTTTCCACTTTACACTCCTCACTCCACACTACACTCCACACTTTACACTCCACACTCCACACTCTACACTTTACACTCCACACTCCACACTCTGCACTCCACACTTTACACTCCACACTCTACACTCCACACTCTACACACCACACCCTACACTTTCTTTCCACTCCACACTCCACACTCCACACGCTACACTCTACACTCCACACTCTACACTTTACACTCCTCACTTTACACTCCACACTCCACACTCCACACTTTGCACTTTACACTCCTCACTCCACACTCTACACTCCACACTCCACACTCTACACTCCACACTCTGCACTTTACACTCCATACTCCACACTCTACACTTTACACTCCGCATTCTACACTTTACACACTCTACACTCCCCACTCTACACTTTACACTCCACACTCCTTACTTTACGTTCCACACTCCACACTCTACACTTTCCACTCCACACTGCAGACTGGTAACAAGGGAACATGTACAAGACTGTTCAAATAAACTATCGCAGAAAGGTATTGTGCGTGACTGCATAACAATGTGTATTGACATCTGTACCATTAACATACGTGTGAGCATTCGGGTTCGTGGGCTTCATCTTGTTTTTTTGGCCACCAGTTGCAGTATAGGTCGGGACAAACACATGACGTCAGACCTAAATTGAGACATTCAGGCGACCGGCACCTCGAGAGATCCAGCAAACCCCATCATCCGTAGCCGCCATAGCCAAAGAGGGCGACTATCTCCACACATGTCCCCTACGAATGATCAATCAATCGGGGTCCCAGGGAGTTTGTACAAATGTCATATGATTTTCCCGTAGATGATAAGGTCATGAACACTTCCGACACTTCCTGTCTTCGGTTGTGGAGTTGTCGACTCCCAGGACATCAAAGTCATGGGCTCTGGCGGCTCGTCTCAGGCCCTCCACGGGAGCATTTTTTCAGGCAATGCCGCAATGCCTCGTCTCCCACTTACTCCACGTGGTTTTGGTGGTAGCTTGTCCCCGTGCTGCGTATTTGTGTTGGTGTAGTTGCACTGGGGCCGTACATAAATTTGACCTGCATGGCGAGGCAGCCAAACGTGCTGTGTCAGCAAATATTGCTGAGGTGCACGGTATCTTGTGGGCTGGCAGAGTGACGGGGCATTTGTTTGTTCATTTAGATTCAGATCCAGCAACTGCTGTTTCAAGAGGTTCAAATGGTTTAAACATGTTTAAACCATGGCCACAGAAAGCTGTTCGGCTAAAAGACTAAAGTAGGTTTTGGACATGTTTAACCTCTTCATTCGTCTTCATTCATTAACGGATGGGCTGTTTCATGCTGTTTCATGTCAAACTTCCATGCTTGGAGTTCAGCTCGAGGTTTGGACATGGCGAGACTGCTCATGGCGTGATGTGGACAGTTTCTTTAAAGCGATGAGGTTGTCATTCTGCACGTTTCCGCAGGCGGACCAAACAGAAGGATGTCGCGGTCTTAGACTTTCAGAATCACCCTCGGAAGTTTGTTATAGTCCTTGAACAATTTTTGTGGCTGGAAGGTTTGTTGCATATGGCAAGATCGGTTTGGCGTTTTTTGTTCCGTGCTTTGATTGCCTTGCTCTAGTTGACTCAAAACATGTGCACCCGCCCCAAACCGCACCCTTCAGCGCAGCAAGGGGGTTGTAGTATCACCATTGTATCACCAATGGAGTGAAGGATGCAATGTTATGGTCCGATTCCCGCGGCTGGTTTCCCATTCACATAAATGAGTTTATAGAAAGCATCTATCTTGGATTCAGAAGAATTTTGGTTTCTGCCAAACTACGACCGAATCAAGTCGTGCTGCGCTCATGTTTGCAAACTGAAAGTGTCTTCATCCGGCCTCAGCTTCTGCATTTTCTGAGGGAGTGGTGGCACTATGCCGACCGCCCAGGAGCTTGGTGTCATGGGTCGTTGACACAGAAAACGTGTTGACATTGCTAGACATGATCCTGAAACCGTATGGTTGACAGGAGCACACCAGCCCGGAAGTTGGGAGGCTTAGGAAATTAAACGTGAGGGGCTGGAAGCGTGTTGCATGGTGCTGGCACTTTTGATAAGGTCTTCACTAGCTTGCTTGGCTTCGAGGTTCTCACATTGCACGCAGCAAGGTTGTTGGTTTGGAGGTTTTTGCCACCAGAAGAACTCAAATTCCTCACAAGATTTGGGAACAGATAACCATATTCCAAGCTCACCTTTCGTGGTTTCCGCTATTTCTGTACGGGTGGTCAGTGGTTGCAAACGCATCTTCCTAAGAAACCCTCTGATGTTGAGCCTGCCATCTCTCGTATTCCTACCCTCCCTGTGTGTCTTTGGGCTGACCGAGATGGACCCTCAGTGGGACGCCAACTTCGCCGAGGTCCACAGCAAGCTGTACGACGAAATCATGAGTTCCATCGACCTGGTCTTCGCGCACTTCAGCGATGGAGTTCGAGGACTTCCGGCGGAACGACTCGGGCAGGCCATGTGGATCCTGGGGATGAACCCCACGGAGGATCAGGATCTTTGGCCGCAGATAGGGCTTTTGGGTTTTGAGGAAATCGCACCTCCCTGTGACAGTTTGGTCATGTTTGGTCTGTTGTTGAACTGTCCCTTCGCGTTTTGAGCTTCCGCAAGGTCTACAAACACTTGGCAGATCTTGGTCGCCCATACATCGACCAAGCGACGTTTCACCGTTTCATCCAGGACAGTCGGACAGTTCGGGAATGGTCCAATTCTTGATTCTTCGTGAAGTTTCATGTTTCATGATGTTTCATTCGTGTGAGTTGAACATTGTGCCTTGAGAATGCTTGATGTTCCTGTTTCACCGATTCTCTTTCAGCTTTGCAAGCTGCAGCACGGCACAGGACGAATTGACAAAGTATCTCGAACAGGTTCAGGCCAGTCAAATGACGACAACCAAATTGATTGCCTTTGCACCTGGGCCAAACTGTAATGACTCCCTGAGATCTAAAGCTGCCAAATTTTCGCGGATTTCAGAGACTACTGGTATGTGGTGCTTGTGAGATGCGCAGGCTGTGGTTGACTATTTGAAGCAATATGACACGGACAACAAGGGCGCCTTGTCCACTGAAGAAGTTCAAGCAGCGATCAGAGGTGCGGTGAGATCAGAAGTGTCAGGAAAGGATTTCCATCGGATGTATTCCGGGATGTATCGAATGATGGAATTTTGAGAGAGCGAATGAATGATGCTAGGTTGATTGGTTGATGCCCGGGTGCTTTGGGATTTTATACATGGTTGACATATGTATTTGACATTATATTGTTTTATGGAGTCTTTCAGTACAATTTGTGGCTTGAAATTGGACATTTTGCATCCAGGAAGTGGGCTGAGCCAGAAGAAGCTCCAGGCTTGTTAGGGAAGAAGAATCAGAACTTGCAGCAACTGAAACAACGAGGGTCTGCAACTGGAACGCCAAAGCAACAACCGAAATCATTTTTTCACTCGTTCAGTGCCACACTTGTTTTTGGTAGTCCGGTGTTTTTCAGTTTCCTTTATTCTTCAGAAACTGAAGAAAATCCGGCCTTGCGTTCACCATGATTTCTTCTCACCAGTGACTCGCAGAGTCCTAGACAGCTTGGGATTCCGGGTCGCGAGGCAAGTGTTGCAAAGATGCCAAGTAACAGCAACTCGGATGGAAGCTGCAAGCTGAACGTTTGCCAAAGTGTTGGATGGAACCAGTAAGCCAGTATCCACATCCGTTCACCACATCTTTGCAAGTTGCCAAGTCATGAAGTGCACAATTTCCATTCTGTGCTCTGGTCGATTGGTACCACCAACAAGATGGATGGTGAATGTTCAAACATGATTCAAACTCATGGTTTTCTGGGCCTTACCCATTCTCCAAGAGAAGGACCCCAGTTTGTTTTGACGCCTGAGGTAAAGGTCAGCTGGATATTGTGGAGCTGGCAACGTGTTTTCTGGAGCTGGGTGACTCTGAGGCGGCTCTCGGTAGAACATTACCCTTGTATACCCTTGTCTACATCACACGACCAGAAATCGGTTTCTTTGGGATCTTCACATTTTTTTTGGTCGACTGAGAGCATATCTTATTGATGGGGCTCATGTGGCTGTTCTTGTCATCCCTTGATCTGAAGCAGGAAATGCTTGAGCCATCGGAGGCAGCCATGGCAGCCATTGGACGTGGAATCGCCGGTGGGAATTGACCTACGATATCCTACGATGGTTTGCTATCGAAATCTATACGTATTTTATGACAAAATCAAAACATAGTGCTTCATTTCCTTCATTTCTTTCTTACATTGAGTTTAGATTCAGGAGGACAGCCTGATGTACACCTGGAACGGCAAAGCAACAAACAGAATTCATTTTCTCCACTTGTATAGCAGAATATGTGTCTTTGGTTTTCGCAGTAGTTCACTGTTTTTCAATTTTCTTCTCATGAATCAAGGTTAACGAGGTGTTAGCACGTGTATTTCTTCAGACAGAATAGACATTGGGAAAATATATCATGATGTTTTCAGGCCAAAGATGGCAGAACTGTTCTCATGCGGGTGCTCTTAACCCACGTGATTCAAACTTCAACCTTACAACCAGACGTCAATTCGAATAAACGCACCAGACTATCTTAAGTAAGACCGTGTAAGCGCCACTTCTGGTTGTGGCCCACAAAACCATGTAGCAGTGGACCTGGTGTGGTTTGGAAATGGAAACATGTAGCAGTGGAGCAGCTTGCTTACTTTTTCTCAGCACGTAGTTTCAAGGCCTGACAAGTCAGTTGCAAGGCAGAGAAAGAGAGAGCATCTGCGAGTGAAGCAGATAGCAAAGCAGTCAAAATTCAGGCATGAATGACCAGGGGCTAGAGCTTTGTTGCTTTAGACTTCTGCACGTTTCATTCAAGATAACATTGAGCTCAGCTTGAATCTCAAAATTGCAGTCACTTGCGGCCATGTCAGACACTTTACCATATATAGACTATAGACGCTTCTTTCACTATCAGAGCACGCACATTTGGTACATGTCCACATGCTGAGTTTATGAGCCTTTTCTCCGTTCACTGGACCAAAACAAGAGTGGATGTGACTGCGCTGCAAGGTGGTCAAGGATGCCGTATCAGCTGATGCCGAGGCACATGCGGGAGCTGGAGGATTTGAAGCTTGTTGGCTTTGAGCTTCTAGCCGTTGGCTGGTCATGTAGCCAATTGTTTTTGGGTAGTTTGGCCAAAAGTTGATAATTGAATTCCGTGCAGTTGGGCGGTCTTTCAAAAAGGGGTTCCTTCTTTTGGTCCGGTTAGGAGACTCAAACTATTTCCGCTCATTGCTTCATTTGACCTGACACAAAATTAATTTTGTGGTTTAGACTTCCAGCCAGAGTGCACAGAGTGCACCTCTTAGGCTCGATGGGTGGGTTGAAAATTTGTCCTTCATTCCCCGTGAAATTGTCTGGGGTGTCCTTTCCTGCTTTTCCCCGAGGCAGGCACAACCGATGCTGAACAATGTCAGGATCTCTGAGTCTTGAATCGACTTTGGAAGCTTGTCATACAATCCTCACACATCTTGTCACCTTGACGCGGCATGCTTCAACTCGCATACAATCCTTCGCCGCCGCAAGCAGATCGTCGGATCATCGCAACATTTTTGGGTAATGGAAATCATGTCACACTGTGGTATTTATGAAGTATTTCAGAGGGCCTGGACCTGGTGGTAGGGTATGCCTCCCGTCAGGTATGCAGGAGCGGATCCCAATTATGATGTCATTTGCGAACTCAATGGTTTTCTACCTGCAGTTTCTGAGGCAGAGAGACCCGAGCTGCTGAGGATAGCGTGCCCTCTGAAGTGGAATGGAGTGTTTGTTGACAGGGCTATGAAAGAGTTCCCATGAAGTTTGCACGCGAATGTCGAACATGATTGTTCCCATACAATGCCTAAGCCTATTGTCATAGATTCAAGTTTGGAAGGTCTTTGACATACACACACAACATATGGCATAAGATATTTCGAAATTGGACATGATTCATTGTTGGTGGCAGACAGGAGAGCGCCAGTGGCCCAGCAGTTTGGAGGCTCAGGAGTCTCAGGAGTGGGACTACTGAGTACTACTGGGTGTCGAAATGTAGTTCCCGCTGGTCTCGACTGATACTCGCCGGTAGAAGAAGGAGCAAATCTGTCCTTGCTCAGAGGCTTTCTTTATGAAAAGATTTAGATCCGTCGGTTCTGATAAATGTTCAATGCTTCTTACTGATTTTAAGGCAGATGCACAGTCTTGCGGCAACACTGGAGTATTCCGGGAGGGTTCAATTACTGAAGAAAGAAGGAATCTACACAGTCATGAAGTGGACAACTCTGATCGTTCTTGCATCGAGTATGATTCAATGATGTGAACTGTGAACACAGGTTTTTTTCCCGACACCTCCCACTCTGGTTGACCTGAAGACATGTCAGTGTTTTCAATCAAAGTGTTTGAATTGCACATGTTCTCCACCAAGAAATGAGCAGCCGAGCAGCCCCCAGATGCGTGGTCTGGGATCGATTTGCCAAGGCCTACAGCACGATGTTCAGCGATGTCATCGCTTCCACGAACGCTGTCTTCAGATATTTCTCCCAGCCTTCTGGGGTTCCCGCGGAACGACTTGGACATGCCATGGCTATTCTTGGGATGAACCCCACGGAAGATGAGGTTCTTTGACGGCATTGCTGTTGTGTAATAGCCTTGAGACTATTGAGACTATTGCTTCCCTCTCGTGCCAATGTTCATAAACTGTTGAAGTGTTTCTATCAATTCTATCTCCCTGCTGCAATGAGGTCAAAAAGCATTTGGCAGGTCTCGGTGGTCCAAAATACATTGACCAAAAGATGTTTCACCGTTTCATAGAGGACTGAGATGAACCGGGGTGCTTGAAAAAGTTTTATGTGTGTGAGAAGTCTGAAGTGTGCTTCATGTGGCTCTTGCAAATGTTTCAGAAGTGAAGCAACTCTTTTTGGGTGTCTTAAAGACTCAAAGGACTCAAAGATCCAACCAGGGCAGAAGTTGTTGAAAGGCTTGGTGGAATCCCAGGCAATCTCCACTGGTGGATACAGGGGTCAGATCCTGGGATTTCTAGCCCGCAAGCTGCATCAAACTGCCATGCAGGAGGAATTGGGAAAGCTGATTCCGAAAGTTCAGGCCAACCTGACGACCCATGAGGGATGCACCAAGCTTGCTGTCATTTATTAAGATTTGACATGGTTCAACTCACTCCTTGTCACCATGTGCAATTTGGAGATGGTCTCTGCAATTCGCACGTTGCGCAGGAATTGCTGGACTATCTAAAGCAGTTTGACACGGACGGTAAAGGCGCATTGTCAGAGGAAGAGCTGCAAGAAGTGATGAGAGGCAGGATCAGACGGGCTTGGAACAGCCGAAAAGGTTGGGGGCGAGGGGATCAACGGATGCCTGGCTCCCTGCTGAAGTCTGTTTGCACATCCGTGAAGCTACGTCCTGTCATTGAGGGAGCAACAGGTCATTCAGGTGGAGCCAGCATGCAGAGACTCCCAAACCATACCAAGCAAGAGTAGAAACATGTAATAAACACATAGAAACATGTAGACATGTTTGTGATGTTTGTGATGTTTTTGACCCAAGTTAAACCTCTGCAGAAATCCGAAAGCATCCACTGTAATAGTAATACGGGTCTAATTACTTGTTGGTGTGTCTATGCTAGGACCCGCAGGTTGACATTTTAAGACGGCGTCGCAGGAAGTGAGCTGAGCCAGGACAAAGTCCAGGCCAGGTGGGAGCTGCACGATGGAATTTGGAGGTTGTCATTCTTTAAAGTTTGTCACAAGACTGCAAAGCCAATCCTGGTCATTCCATACATAACTGGTTTACGCATGCTTAGACTTTAGACACGGCTTTACCACCTGTCTTTCAATAGACCATACCATATATCCTTTCCAGAAAAGAACCAACTGTGACATCCTGTGAACGTTCCGTGTATTGAGCTGAGCCTTGAACGATTGGATGGTTGCCGGGCCATGTCCAAACGGGTCAAGGCCAGTCTTCGGAAGCTGCCGAGGAACAGCGCCCTGGACGCAAGTAGACCCGCCAACCCATGCCACAGATGCAGGTGCTTTTTTTTGGTGTTGAGCCGCTTGAAGTGTCCGGTCTTCGGAGGGTACATAGTCAACTGAGTAAACCATAGAGCGATTTCCAGACACATGTCAAGATATGTCAAGGAGACCAGGTGTTTTGCTCAGCGTAGAGGTGAAGGTCACCTGGACATCGTGAAACTGTCCAAGTACTTCTTGGAGCTTGGCAACTCTCAGGCCCCGCAATGCTCCGCAGCTCCTCTGATGCTGTAACTGAGTCATGGACCATAAGCTTGACAATCTGCCACAGTTTGACAACGTGCCGAGGTTTGACAACCTTCCAGAGTTGAACATGTGGAAGAGAGAGAGAGATGTTCCTCCTGTTCGTTTTTCTTTGTGGAAGCTGAGAGTATCAATGCTTCTTTGATGTGGAACCTTGTCAGCGTTGGCGGCCTCGTCAGGTTGAAGCTGACGACTCGATTCCCGGTACAGCGAAAACTAGGCGGGCAGCAGTTGATGCTCAGGGCTCCCAGTTGTGGTACAGGTGCCTTACAGGTGCTGAAAAGGATTGAAAAGGCAAAAATGGCCGATGCTCAACTATTATCTCGCTTTTTGCCAATTCTGTTTCAGGACATGTCGCATGTGGTTCAAACAAACACAACCCAAAATCGACTGAGCAGGGAACCATTTCCCTTCTTGGCATGGTGCGCTCGTATGAATCAACCTTGCCCTGTGTCCAATGTCGATTTAGAGAGGCAAAGGCGAACAACCCATCCACGCAGTCGTGACCAGGCAGGATGTCGCCTCCCAGGTGCGAGAAGCGCGGGAGCTCAGCAGCGATGCTTCGAGCTTCCCTAGTTTTTCACCGAGGGAGATATCACAATCCATTGCACTTGTGGCCACCAGTTCATCTACATGCGCCTAGGACTAAATGATGTAGGTCTGGTCGTAGTATTTGTATGTATTTGTATCTGTGGTGGCATTTTCAATTTGGATGGACACGCACAAATCAAGAAGTGTTCACATGTCTCAGGGGTTTTTACATGCTTCAGTCGTCTCACTGGCATGGCCCCTGCACAAGCGATGACACGCTACCTTTTGTATGGCTCAAGAAATAGGCGGCCCTTTTTGCTGCCTTTGGGTTTTTCCCCCGTTTGGGGATCGCAGGTTATGAGCCCAAGTGCTACGGCGCTTGGGTGAACTCCGCGTTGTGCGCGGCCATGGACCGTCGAAGGCGGCAGCTGCGCGAGACGGCCGACGAGCGCTTGGACCGCTTGATCGCCATGGAGCGGAACTCGAGGATCAGCTCCCCGGTGCCTGAGGTCAGAAGACTGATGGTGGAGGAGGGAAGAGCTGCAGCTTCAAGCCCGGGACCCCGACGTGATGGTCGAGGAGAAGGTGAAGCTGCTGGGTCCACGGGTTTGCTGCCAGTGGGATCAGGGACCCCTGCGCCGGATGGCCTGTTGGCTCCACTGTTTCAGGACCTTGGACAGGAGGAAGCCCCACGAGTTTTCCACAGGAGGTTGGACGAAGATGATGAGATTCGTCCGGCCGAGGTGGCAGAGTTTTCTAGTGCCGCTGGAGCTGGTCAACTATCAGCTCAGGATCAACGAGATGCTGGCCAAGGACGAGGTTCGGGATACTGTGATAGCATGACCTTGTCCGAGGCAGCAGATGGCCGGTTTGGCCATGATCGTGACAGTGCTGGAGCTCTGATGGTTCAGCCTGGTGTCAATGCCTTCTGGAGCAGTGAAGTCAGAAGGGCAGCAGCACTTGAGGGAGTGCCGGATGTTGCAAGGCCTCAGGCATTGCCGCCGCTTGCTGGCCCGCCGGTGTCTTACGGCCCTGTGCAGGCCCATGGTGAAGGTTGTGGAGGTTCTGGACATCTTCATCCTGGTGGCATGGCTGGTAGCATTGGCCCTGAGCAGGCCTCGCGCTGTGCATCTGGTGGCATTGACCCCGAGCAGGCCTCTTTGCGCTGTGCGGCTAATGGCATAGGTCCTGAGCAGGCCTCTTCGCGCGGCATGATAGCTGGTGCAGGCCCTGTGCAGGCCTCTTCAAGCTGGGTTGCAACTGGTGGCATCGGCCCTGGGCAGGCCCTTGGTGCAGAAGGACGACAAGCAGGCCCTGTGCAGGCCAATGGAGCGCTACTTGATGGTGGTCCTGGATCTCTTCAAGCTGGTCTGAGTGGAGCTCTGTCGCAACCGTCGCCGGAGAAGTCAGTGGAAGCACTTCGGCTGAGGATTGTGAAGGCAGCAGAGGAAAGCTTCATCAGAGAGGCGAAGAAGTTGAAGGGCGAGGAGCCGGAGGGTGAGGTGCGCTCTTACCACACAGCTTCGAGTGGGCCTGGAGCGAATGGAAGGATGGTTCCACCAATGCCTTCTTTGCAGGGGGCTCCTACGTCGTCTTTGGTGGCAGTGCAGCCTGGGGTGCAACCTATGTCTGGGCATCATGGACTTCACCAAGGAGGTCAGACAGCTGGACTGGGATGTGGCATGATGTGGAGTCAACCGGTGTCTCCAATGGTGACTCACTCTCCAGGAACGCAGAGTGTCCTGGGTTTTAATGGTGGATGTGGGATGAATCCTGGACATCATCAAGGTGGTGCAGTCTATGGTGGACCGGCAGTGACATCTCAGAGTCCTGATGTGGGCTTACATGGTGGTGGTCAACTTCCAGGTGGATTGGGAATGTCGGCCAATGCAGGACATCTTGGAGGTGGGCTGACTGGACCTAGTGCTGGTGGAGGTGCAGGTGGAACTACGTCGCTGGTGAGACCTCCAGGCTTGGGTGGACCAGATCTACAACAAGGTGTGGCACAGCCGATGGAACCTTTGAGAGGTTCCGAGCTTCCTCTACTACCTCAACCTGGGACGGAGCAGTCAGCTCTGCAGTTTGGTGATTGGATCACAGTGGTCACTCCGATGATTGGGGACGTGGCTGGATCTGCTCGTGGTTGGTGGAGTGACATCTTGCAAGATGCCTCAAGTTTGTATGACCGGTGGCTCACTTCGACGCCCTTGGAGAGGATCAGACTTCGTCCAACAGAAGTTCAACGATCCGAGGCCCATCTACGCTTGGAGCAGAGAGTGGTGCCTATGCTGCTGAAGTGCGTGCCGGAGTCCATCAAACAGGATCTGATTGCCAGCAGGACTGTGACGGTCACTGGCATTATGTACAGGTTGTGGACGGTCTTTCAACCTGGTGGCAGCTCAGAGCGGGTGAGCATTCTCAAACAGCTCACGGAGCCGAAGGTGGCCAGCAGCGCACCGGATTTGCTTGGGGGACTTCGACGATGGAGGCGCCTCATGAGCCGATCCATGGAGCTGAACTTGGCCCTTCCAGATCCAATCATTCTTGGAGGAGTTCTTCATCGCTTTGCAGATGCTCTTGGGAGGCTGGGTGGAACGCAGCTGGCGTACCGGGTGGCCTCGGTGAGGCAGGAGCTGGGGGTTGATATCAGGCCCTTGGCACTCTCCATTGAGCAGTATGCGGAGTACCTCCAGTCTGAGGCCGAGGAGCTGAGCTTGGGAATCGGCCTGAGAGCCACTACTGCTGGAGCTGCTGCCCCAACCTCGCTGAAAGCCATGGTGGGTTTGGATGCTTCAACTTCGACTACGAGTGCATCAGCTCTGAATCCATCGAAGGCACCATGTAAGTTTTGGAAGACTGTGGATGGATGCAGACGCGGGTCGCAGTGCACTTTTCTTCATGAGACCACGGAGATGAAGGGACGGTGTTTCAATTGTGGGAGCTCTTCACATCTTCGGAAGGACTGCACAGCGAAGACCTCATCTACTTCAACTCCTACTTCCACCCCGGCTGGTGGCCCTGCAGGGGATAGCTCACAGCCAAAGAAGGTTTCCAAGGTGAAGGCGACCCCGAAGTCAGCCGCCAAGGACCAAGCGGTGGATGCACAGAGGAGTCCTGGGAAAAGCCCCAATGGGAGTGAGGTCAAGCCCAAGGAGGTGGTCAGCACAACTCCTGGGGGTACCCCGGATGGAACTCAAGGTGGTGATTCAACTGCCACTGAACCAATGGGTGAGCCTTCAACAGAAGCGGCAGCTGAGCTGATGAGGGAGGCCACAAGTTTGCTAAAATCCATCCGGTCTCTGAAGGCCGTGCGGATGAAGTCCGTGGGAGAAGGGATCTATGGAGGACCTGGAGAATATGCACTCCTTGATGGTGGAGCCACGCATGGACTTCGACAGGCCAGACCTGAGGAGGAACCTGACCTGATTGCCACCAAGGTGGAGTTGGCCTGTGGATCTACGACCCTCTTCAAGCACCCCAAGCACCAGACCTTGCTGAGCCGGAGCCCTGTTGAGCCGATCATTCCATTGGCCTGGTTGGTGGCAGCTGACTACAAGATCACATGGAAGAGAGACAGCATCGTGATCCACCACCCTACTAAAGGGCCTTTGCAGTGCAGCTTGAGGGGAGGATGCCCGGTGATGTCAAGGGCGGAAGGCCTGTCCCTGTTGGGTGACTTGGAGAAGATGCAGCAGGTAGATGTGGACTTGAAGGAGGACGAGTTGAAGTGGTGGGCTGATCACTTCCCACAGGTCCCGCACTCCATCTGGAGGTTCATGAAGGGGCAGGGTGAAAGCTGGCGTGACCACTCTTCTAGCCTTCCCTGGAATCGCCATCGAAGAAGGAGACTGTGGAAGTCGAAGGGCATCCTTTTGCACCTCTTTTCAGGGAAGAACCACAAACAGTGGGATGAGCTGGAACAGGCTGGCTACACGATCCTCACGGTGGACACTTTGCATGGGATTGACCTACATGATGCAGCCACGTGGGCGTTCATTTGGGAGCTTGCATGTGCTGGAAAGGTGGTTGGCATTTTGGGTGGACCACCATGCCGGACGACGTCAAGACTGCGACAACGGCAGCCTGGACCACCTCCTCTTCGAGGACGAGACGGCCTTCGCTTCCATCTTGAAGGGTTGTCCACATGGGACCTGCATCGGGTCAACTCTGACACAGCGCTCCTCTTCAAGCAGCTGGGCCTGTTCTTGAAGGCGGAGGAGCGACGCATGCAGGTGGCGGAGCTTCATTGTCTTCCTACGGCATTTGCACTGGAGTCTCCTGAAGACCCAATGGAATACCTTGGACCTGAGGTTGCAGCCAACTTCCCATCCTTTTGGAACTTTCCTGAACTGAAGGACCTGGTGGGACGAGGGCAGCTGAAGCTTGTGAGTTTTGATCAATCCCAAATGGGGCATGTGAGACGGAAGCCAACTACGGTCTTGGGAAATCTGCCGGGCTTGGAGCAGCTGGATGGCTTGAGGGATTCAACACGCAGATCGGATCCTCTTCCACGAGATCTTCAGGCCTCAATCAATGCATCGAAGGATTGGGCGAGCTGGGCACCGGGCTTGGTGGCTGCATTCAAGGTAGCGCTGAGGACCTATCTCCATGAACGGGATCAATGTCTTGCCCAGCGCATCCACAAGTTGAACGTTGAGGAGTGGAAGCGACACATCAGAGCTCATCACCATCCTTACAGACGAGACTGCAGGCGATGTATGGAGCTGGCAGGGGTGGACAGTCCTCACAGACGGTCACATGCCGACAGCTCTGCCTATGTCATGTCTTTAGACTTGGTGGGCCCGTATCCTGTGGGTCGAGATGATGGACGTCGCCAGAAAGGGAAATACATCATGGTGGCTACAGTTCCTTTGCCGATGTTGGAGCGAGCTGACATCCAGGTGGAAGAGAAGGCGGACGTGGTCTTGGATGAGAAGGAGACCTCAGAGAGCCCAGAAGAACCCCATGGAGATCAGCATGAAGCTTCATCGGAGCCGCAGGTCTTGG